TTGCCAAGCGACTAAGGCAAGCCGTTGATAATTATGTACCGTCATGCCAATGCAATCTGAGCAAAGCCAATGGGCGCTGCAGTGCGGACAGATTTTCGAACAGAACCCGCAGACAGGGCGAAGGCACGGACAATCAGCTATTCCAACTTCTCCTGGGCATCTGTTCTCTGCCATGGCTGGGCATCATGATCCCTGTGCCCTACAACCTACCTTGATCGAAATACGATCCGACGACGAGTCACGGGACTCCTGACTGCTCGTCGACCTCCCACGAAATCTCGACATCATCGGGGAATTGGAGTCTGACTAGCATTCGACGGTGGCGACGTGGGTTCCTCTGGTGCCCCCTCAACTTCTTGTATCACGGGGCAGGATTTAACTTCTATTTAGCTTCCAGTCAAATTTGAAACCTGCATATGCGAATCTTGGTCCATGCTGATGTCGTCTGGTACTTTTGGTCGCTTCGGCACTAGGGTTTCCATGGTGGCATCTCTTGCGTGCTCCATCGAAGTCGCTGCTGCGTGTCCTACTCTTTTGATCGACGAAACTCCGAGCTTATATCTTCGGGGGCCATGATTGCCGAGAGCTCACGTTCTATGTTGTCGCCTAGAGCTTTTGGTTGAACCATCGCCGAGGCTTCTCCCGGAACTTGCACGAACGGTTCATCAATGAGCGATATTGGAATGGCATGTGGGGGTGGCTTGCCCACCAAGTCCGATGCGATATTACTTATAGCACCTTCGGCTATTGCAGATTGTACAATCGCGCCAGAAGCTTCATTTCTGTCCATGTGTGCATCGGATGCAATCATTGCTACTTCGGCTGATAACCAGTTGTTTGCCAGAGGAACGGGATCCCCAGCAAACGTGGGGTGTGAAGATGATGCAATGTTGGGCTCATCATTGCTCTGGACCTCCCGTGTCGACATGGCGATACTATCCGTTGAGCTGCTATGCGAAGGATATGCGCGCGCGGGAGGAGGGGGCGACGACGCGGCGACGACCCTATGCGCTCCCTTCCATTACGGGCGCGCAGCTGGCCCGCGGTGCCAGCTTGATCCTTGCTGAAACAGCTGCGGGCACGCAATGTGGCGCGTCGGCGGCGGCGCAGAGACGGCGGAGGAAGAGGTTGAACATCCATACTGCCATCGTGCCCGATCGAGGGCAACCGTGTCCAGCACGACCGACGGGGAAGACTTTCGCGTGGATGCGCCGAGCGCGCGGGGCACGCCGTTTCATCTCGTCAAAAACACCCAGCTACTCGACCGCGGAGGCGTGGGCAACCGTCGCGGTTTGATCCTGGCGCGTGCCCGCGCTCATCGTTCCAGGCGCGCAATCTGAGCCACTCGATGAGTTTGTCGTGTATTCGTGGATGGGAGCCCGTGCAGCACCGGCGACGGCGCCAGAAACCGCATTCGCAGAGACCCAAGTCCTTCAAGACAGAACCGGGGCCCGCACCCCTGACTTCGAGAGCGCATTCGCTACTGCTTCAGCTAAGCGCGCGCGATGGCGCGAGCGCAGCCGCCTTTGAGCATAGTGCGAAGCATTCGCCGCTTCGGCGGCTGGTGCAGAGCAGCACGCCTCAAACATAGCGCGGGGTGGGGGGGCGGATGAACGACTGCAGCATTTTTAAGATTTGCCAGCGGTGCCTTGTCTCGCTGAGGCCACGCCTCAGGGGAAGTCGAGCAGGCGAGGCCAAATCGAAAGTCAAGCAAGTGGAGTCACATGAGCATGGGCCTGCTTTCCTTAGTGCGTGTCAGCAGGAGGCGGCGCGCCATTCTCGAAAGCTTTGCATCCAACGGGGAAAGTTCCCCGAAAGGCGGCATCATGGTCATCGAACCTGGATGGCAATGTCCAGCGCGTAGGCGCGGCCAGCGAAGTCAAGAGCTCGAGCGTCAAGTGGGGCAGTGAGCGCCCGGCGGAAGTGGATGGCGACGATAAACAGCGCCACGCAGACATCCGAGTCGCCATGCATAATTTCCAGCGGGCGTGTGTATGATAAGGAACCCTTAGGGCGTCCACGCTGCTCAGCGTGAGGACACCGCGCCGCTAGAAAGAGTGGGTTTAGACACCGTACAAACAGGGATAGTCACAGTGGATGATGACGCAGAGACGGGAGTCTTGACTCGCTTGAGCTACGTTTGTTGGAAAATAATGTGGCGTTGCGTAGTGATAATGCCAGTAGTGATTCTCAGAAACCGACGCCTGATTCCTCATATGCAGTCTGCCATGGAGAAGCACTGAGGGAGCTAGAAGATAGTGGAGTTGCTTGTGCGAGCTGCTTCGCCAGCCCACGCACGTCGAATCACGACAGTGTGCGTGGTGGGAGGAGATCTGTATCTTTATGGTGCCACAAGTGGGTAGGAAGTGGGGATGTTCGAAGTCCAGCTGCAACGGCGCGCTTACTTGTAGCGGGGAAGAAGCCGCCTTGGATTGTTTCAAGTCGCTGTTTGTGCGGCTCGACCTATCCCAGGGCGCGCTATGGCCAGAATTTCGAGGGGCACCCATCCAGTGCGACGAGAAGCTGCCTGGAGGCCCCGGGAGGCCTCCGAGCGGTCCATACAAATCGGCCTTCAATTCTTCCTCCTCCTTTCGAGCCTTTCGAGCGCGGCCCAATGGTCTCCGCGAGACCGTGGCCGTGGCTTCCTCCTCCTGTTCCTCCTCCTCTGCCTCCTCCTCTTTCATCGACGACGACGACGATGTCTGAGCCCCTCCTTCCCCTATTGCTCCTTCCTCGTCCGTCCTTCCTCCCTCATCCTTCCTCCCCTCGTGCTTGCTCCCCCCTTTCCTCCTCTCCTCTCTCCTCCTTCGCCCAACATCCCTCCTCCTCTCTCCTTGCCCTCATCCTCTTCATCTTCGTCCTCCCTCCCCCGTCCTTGACTCTTTGTCCCCTTTCCTGCTCCGCCTCCGCGGGCGCAAGGTCTCCCGCCCCCGTTGCCGCCTCGCCGGGCATGCCGCCCCCGATGATGGCGCGGGAGGCGCCCCACAGCACCGCCGCGAGGGCCGCTTCCATTCCAGCGCCGCCGTCGCCCTTCTCCGTTCTTCCTCCGTCCGCCCTCCGTCCGCCCTCCTCGGGTCTTCCTGCGTCGTCTAGTCTCGCGTCCGGAACCCAGCGCATCTTCCAGGAGAAAGTCAAGGGGGGGAAAAAGGAAGTCATGAGTCGTCGTCGTCTTCCTCTTCCTCTTCCTCCTCCTCCTCCTCGTCTCATCTCCTCCTCCTCCTCCTCCACCTCGTTATCCTCTCATCTCCTCCTCCACCTCTGTGTCCTCCCATCTCCTCCTCCACCTCTGAGTCCGTGCCCCTTATGTCCTCGTCCTCGCCTCCCTCCTCCTCCCCCTTTTTCTTTTCCTCTTCCTCCCCCTCCTCCTCGTCCCCATCCCCCTCCTCCTCCTCCTCCTCCTCACAAGCAGCCCCTCCTCCCCGTCGTAATTCGACTCATCGTTTCCTAAACCCCTCTTGGGGCGCCGTTGGAGCGCTGCAGACGCGAGCCGCTTGCGCCCCACACGGGCCCCCGGGGGCCCCCAGCACGGGTGGCAGGGTCAATGGTACTCCGTGCAAGGGGGGTACCGCGGTCGGCACCTGAGCTGGGCACCGCCATCGGCCGCGGCGGCCTGGCCCTGGTCGGCCTTGCCTGTGGAGGCGGCCGAGGCCCGTCGCGGGCCCGTCCGCTGCGTGCTGCCCGCGGCCGCCCCGGCTCGATCGCTTCGGGCCCGCGGTCCTGGCCGGCGGCCCCCCCTTTGAGGGCGCCGCCTGTGCACCTGCACCCGTCCTGGTGGACTCGGTGTGTGTGTGTGTGTGTGTGTGTGTGTGTGTGTGCGTGCGTGCGTGCGTGCGTGCGTACGTACGTGCCGTGCGTGCGTGCGTGCGTGCGTGCGTGCGTGCGGTGCGTGCGGTGCGTGCATGCGTGCGTGGGTGCGTGCGTGCCTGCGTGCGTGCGTGCGTGCGTGCGTACGTGCCGTGCGTGCGTGCGTGCGTGGGTGCGTGCGTGCGTGCGTGCGTGCGTGCGGTGCGGTGCGTGCGGTGCGTGCGTGCGGTGCGGTGCGTGCGGCGCGTGCGGTGCGTGCGTGCGTGCGGTGCGTGCGTGCGTGCGTGCATGCGTGCGTGCGTGCGTGCGTGCGTGCGTGCGTGTGTGTGTGTGTGTGTGTGTGTGTGTGTGTGTGTCTGTGTGAATGTCGGGCGTGCGTGCGTGCGTGCGGGCGTGCGTGTGTGGGTGTGTGTGTTGTGTTTGTGTGTGTGTTCGTGTGTGTCTGTGTGTCTGTGTGTCTGTGTGTCCTGTGTGTCTGTGTGTCTGTGTGTCTGTGTGTCTGTGTGTCCTGTGTGTCTGTTGTCCGTGTGTCTGTGTGTGTGTGTGTGTGTGCGTGCGTGCGTAGGGCGCCGCGAGCGTGCGTGCTGCGTGCGTGCGTGCGTGCGGTGCGGTGCGTGCGGTGCGCGGCGTGCGTGCGTTCGTGCGCGTGTGTGTGTGTGTGTGTGTGTGTGTGTGTGTGTGTGTGTGACTGTGTGTGTGGGTGCGTGTGCGTGCGTGCGTGCGTGCGTGCGTGCGTGCGTGCGTGCGGTGCGGTGCGTGCGTGCGTGCGTGCGTGCTTGCGTGCGTGGCGTGTGTGCGGGTGGTGTGTATGTGTGTTTTTGTGTGTTGTGTGTGCGTGTGTGTGTGTGTGTGTGTGTGTGGTGTGTGTGTGTGTGTGTGTCGTGCGTGCGTGCGTGCGTGTGTGTGTGTGTATGTGTGTGTGTGTGTGTGTGTCTGTGTGCGTGCGGGCGTGCGTGCGTGTGTGTGTGTGTGTGTCTGTGTGCGTGTGTGTGTGTGTGTGTGTGTGTGTGTGTGTGTGTGTCTGTGTGCGTGTGTATGTGTACGTGCGTGCGTATGTGCGTGCGAGCGTGCGGTGCGGGCGTGCGTGCGGTGCGGTGCGGTAGGGTGCGTGCGTGTGTGCGTAAGTGAGTGCGTGCGTGCGTGCGTGCGCGCGTGCGTGCGTGCGTGCGCGCAGGATCGTGTGTTGTGTGTGTGTG